GTCGTAGCCCAACGTCTTGGAGAGGCCAGAGCAACTGGCCAGAACTTTCATCTCACTCACTTGCCGAGGAATTTCTAAAACGACGATGGGCAGGCGGCCCAGCGTCTTTGCCGCCTGCTTCAAGGCCTCCTCCACCTCAACGTGGCCGGGGGCACCCAGCTGCTGGCGCAGCCTTTCTCCTGCGGTCTCCTTGTCGCTGTCGAGCTTCACGTGGACGATGCCCTCGTGAAAGCCTGCGTCTCGGCATGCCTTGAACAAGGCGAAGCTCTTGCCGGATGGTGGTTGCCCCAAATCAACACGGGGGAGCGATCATCCAGGTCCAGCAACCCGCTGATCTGGGCCTAGCACAACCATGTAGCATGAAAAAACAAAGCACACGAGGACTTACGCATGATGCCGGGCCTGGACGTGCTTGCGCGGGATCTCCACTTCGGGCTTGGCAGCGTGGAAAGCGCTGTGGATCACGCGCGCTTTCACACGATCGCGATCGCCTGCTTCTTGCTGGCGCTTTACGCGCGCCTGCCACATATCGTGTCCATCCACCGCCAGCTTAGAAATCCCGCCGACTCCAAGCCCCGTGGCCAGTGTCTTGCCAGCAGGGCCGATGCGATCCGTCACTGCTCGGAGGCGAGCACGCATCACTACGTAGCTTCTGGGCAACTTGGACCATTCCGTGTCTGCTGAACACCAACACCAAGTCTAGCCACAGTGATTCCAGTGCCGGCAACACACCGGAACGCACGCCAGCTGGCTCTGACGGGTACAAGGCAGTTTGGGCACTGCGATATCTAGGAATAGTACATGCAAAGAGCTGCCGCCTCTTCCAGGAACGGCGAGAGGGCCGCACAAGGCCTCGAAAAGCGCTTACACGTAAGCCTACCGTGCCAAGCTACACTCCACCAACACGATAGCCACATTGAAACCGCGGGCCTTGTCGAAGGGGCGCTCGCGGAGCTCAACATGAAACGGCTGCGGAACAAGCAAACAACCATCAAGCGCAAAACCCAAAAAGTAGCCATGGTCAATCTTTAGCCCAACGCACGGCAAACCCACTGCCAAATCCACGGTCAGGTCTTGCAACTCGTCCACGGAACTCACGTCAAGGAGCTTTGAAAATCAAGGCTGCAGCTTGCCGCCCAGGATGCGATGCCCTCCTGGCCGGAACGGGCCGCGCTGGTATCCGGCCACGCCCAGCGCTAGTTTCGCAGCTAAGGAAGCCACTCTCGAGCCTTCTTGAACGCATCACAGCATTGGAACATCAGCTCCGCTGCTTGCAGAGCTCGGGGCAGCGCCGGTTTCGGAATTCCTGCAGAATCTCCTGAGCGACGTCCCAGCTAGCATGTTTTGCGTCCTTCATTGCCACTCGTAGCCGTTGTGAAGCTCCTGCAAACACTGCTCCAGGTTCCGAGGAGACCGCCAGGGCACCAGAGTCTTTGCACTTTCGCCTCGTCGGAGGCGCGCTCGTTGGAGGCGCGCTCGTTGGCCTCGAGGCTGCGGGTGGACACGGAACGCCAGAGCACAGCCACGGACCTCGTGACAGCGCCACACGCGTCCAGGACATCCGAGCCCCAGGAGATGCACCGTCGTGAACAAGGCCCGGCCCACGGACGACTACCTCACAGTCACGGGAGGCACGCAGGGCACTGACTTGAACTCGGTCTTCCACACCGCCAGTGCGATTCGCCTTGCCCGTGCCGAACAGATCGACGTAGCCGAA